CGAGGACATCCTGCCTCGAATAGAATCAGTTAAGTAAAATTTGACAGTTGAAACAGCGAAAGGTGTAAAAATGTAACGGTCGATACGGAGAAGAGGAAGAACCTATCACAAATGGTATTTGGAATGGTATTTGTTAGGTCTTCAAATATTCAAGTTCTTTGCCATTGCATCTTCTCAATAATCTCTTTCTGGATGATGCTGGAGACCAACCTCGTCTCAAGCTTCTCTTTAAAATTTTCACGTTCTTTGCGTGTTTAGTTTTTTTTCTATTTTTCCGATTTTCACGTTTTAAAATTTTCAAGTATTTTTTCCTTTTTTTTGCTTTATGCTTTTTTGCCTTTTTCTCCTTTTTTTTCACAGGTTCCCCCTCATGATTAAGTTCCCACGTCTCTTTACAAGAACTCATCTATGGCAATCGATCCTCCAACTTTTTGCAGGTGGATTTTCCAAGATCATCTTGAGCAGATTCCCTCCAGTAGAGCCAAGAGACTTTGAACTCACATCAGTGACTCATCATTGCTATGATCTCTCTCCGACTTCCTTATCCCCAACAGCTCATTCTACAGCTCACTCAACAGCTCATTCGCCTGCATCTCGGATCGCCAAAGGCCAAACTGTAGAATCAGTCCATGAGTTCACACTTCGTGTTGCTTTATATGTACCACTAGAGATCCTGTTCCTTGTACCTTTCCAGAAGGTATAGTGTTCATATCGGCGGCACTAAAAAAAAATTCGGAAAATTCCAAGAAGGTATAGACAACACCGTTGCCGTCTAATGTGCGGTATATGGAACTCCGCTTCAGAGCGTAAACGATTCTTACTTCGACATACTTTTCCGAGAAAAACCTGGAATGACTCCCTGCAACCTTTACTGTCGGAATCGGCAGCTCCGTTCAAGTAGGTAATTATTCGTGTTTCCGTGAGAATTTCCGCCTCATTCGGGAATTCTGCGATCGCGTTCTCTACCCGAAGACGTCTTGTTACCTCTCGAAATACTTCAGTAAAAAAGCGAATTTAATCTTGGTTTCGTGACTTGCCCTCGTCAGACCGTTAGTGCGGTTCTCCCATGGATAGATTGAAAGTACCTCTATCTCACACGATTATCCGGTGCATCTCTTACACCAGGCAAAAACTGTCGCATTTGGAAAAGATTCTGAAAAAAGATTCAGCGACCCACTTTCGCCCCTCTCTCTTTTTTTTCAGAGAGATTTTGAGGGCGGATGAGCGACTCTTAAGCGTTCCTAATGCCCCTTTCGGGGCGCTTGGTGGGCGCTAATTTCCCTTCCGTCCTTTTGGTGCCGTTGTGCTGGCACCCAGAGAATCTAGACGATCTGCAGGAAGCAGGGCGTGCGTCGTCGAAGAGCATTTCTCGACGGGGAGAAGAGGCTGCTGCGCTCATTTCCCCGGGATCCGGCAGGGAAATTGAGACGAAAGGACTTTCTCCTCGGGGGTCCGAGCTTTTCCTCGGAGAATGAACGTGTCATAATCGTGCGGGAATCCCCCTGCGGAAAGTTCCGGATCGTCGTGAGGATATTTATGTTACGATGCCATTTGGGACTCTCCTACGTAAAGCAGTCGGGAATATTCGAAACAGGCTCTTCCGACGCGAACGAGGGAAAAAATCTTCGACTTCACTGTCGAACTTAGAATGTTGGACCCTCAGTGGGAATATTTTGGGCAGAAGGTGAAAAAAAAATTATGGGAACAAGGAGTGGGATTTCGGAGGATATGCAGGACATTCTCCAGAGCACTTAGGGAAATCCAGATCTAGATGCTCTAAGTCGGAAAATTTCCCGACGTAGAATCGAATATCTCCGAAATATATATAATTTTTTTTCTTTTTTTTACAGTGGGGGAAGCGAGGCCCGAATACTGAAATCCACAGAGTCTAAGGTCTTCGCCTCTGCCCTCGGTCTCTCCTGACAGTAGCGTTTCTTTCCTCTTCTCCAATTTTCAACTCGGTGACGTAAGTTCACAACTAACTTCTCCCCATTCACTTTTTTATTATTAAAAACCAGTGTGTTTGTTATTCCCTGTTCACAACTGAGGTCTGGAGAAATGTCACTGCGCATGACAGTGCACGACTCCACCTGCACGTTTGGTATTTCATGTAGAATTTCGTCAACTTGCTTGGATAAACGATCACTCTATCGCCAATTTGGTACCCTCCCCTCTGCAATCCGAATTTACTGTCCTTGCAATATCTTTATATCTTTTGGCGCTCTGCTCCTTCGTCATTTCTTGCGGGATGATGACGCGGTTAGAGACTAAGTGACGAGGCAAACTTCCCTGGTACTTGAGACTCGATGAGACTGCTCTCGCCTCCTCTACGACTTGACTTCCCAGTATCCTTTAAAACGGTGGTGCACGACTCGAAAGGCTGTGAGGGCCATTTGCAATTTTTACTCGGCTACCGCGGACCGCAGTCTGACTGATCGTAGCTGTGGCCAACAGGGCAGGACCCATTGTAGCACTTACAACGCCACCAGTCGTGGCGGGCCACGACCAAGGGCCTCGTGGGCCGTATGTCGTGCACCCCTGCTTTAATATGTCCGTGGATGGCAGTATCGCTCGGAACAGACGCAACGAGCGTCTTTCCCTCGCTGAATTCGGCCGAACCGTTGCGATAGCGCCATTCCCGAGTGCTAACACCCGACCAGGAGTGAGCCAAAAATAATAGGGACTGCTTGCTCGAAGTCAAGATTCAAGATTCAAGATAGTTAGTGACATCAAGAGGCGATTTCGCCCATTTCGATATCACGTGTCGAGAGACCTACCGTTATTTCGACCGACGTGGAGAACTTTACACTTACTTTTATTAAACCTCATGAGCCATTTCTTGCTCCACTCGTCCAAAAGACTTAAATCTCGCTCGGCTCGAGCCCTATCCGCCTCCCCCCTTATGGTAAAACCTATCTTGGTGTCGTCGGCAAATTTACTCATCTTGTCCTCTACGCCGAGATCCAAATCGTTTATGTAGACCAAAAACAGAAGCGGTTGGAGGACCGAGCCTTGAGGGACACCGCTTGCGACTCCGACCTCCTTCGACGCTTCCCCATTTATCATCACCCGTTGCTCTCGTCCTGCCAACCAGCTACTGATCCACTCACTCGTCCTACCCTGGATCCCGTGCGCCTCCAGTTTAACCCGCAACCTCTTGTGAGGAACGGTATCGAAAGCTTTCGCGAAATCTAAATAGACGATGTCCACGGGATTCCCTTTATCCCTCTCTTCCGTCGCCCAGTCGTAGAATTCGAGCAAATTGGTGAGACAATTTCGACGCCTCCTAAAGCCGTGTTGAGAGTCCCGAATGAGCGCGTTTCCTTCGAGGAAATCCAAGAGATGGTCCCTTAGTATGCTCTCCATGATCTTCCCTGGGATACCATGAGTAAATCATGAGTAAAAGTCATGAGTAAAACTGGAAGAATCGTTGGCCCTCCAGTGACGGTGTGGTCCTTCGAAAGCAATAATTTGCATGAAATGGATGAGTGGACTCATCGCGAAAAGCTGTTCTTCAAAGCACTGTACCTTGGATATAGGAAGAAAAGTGAACTGGGGTATCTCCCTTCTGCCATCTAGCGACGCTCCTGATCTGCCGGAGATGAGACATGGCGCGGGCCAGTGGGATTCTCATTGCCGCTTGCCTATGATGCGGCCCTTCAGGTTGGCCTAGCTTTGAGCCCAAATCTGTGGTGTTGCCGCCTTTGCTATCGGCGTTGTTTTTGTTGTTGCTTCTCAGTCTATGAGGAAGAATAAGCCCAGGAGTTAATTCTGTGACATAGGATCAGCTTTGGTCTTGCCAGGCCTGTTTGGTATAATGAACTTTCCTAATGAACTTGCCTAATTTCTCAGGTGCCTGCACATAGTGTAGGCCTATTCACAAATGTATTGACCTCAAAATCACAGCCACAGACATGCACTGCCATTATTGATTTTAAAAAGTTTTTTCTTCACCGTTTCTCATACATAGTTTCTTTTACAGTAAAAAGTAAACAGTTTTTTATTAGTAAAAGAAACATAGTTTCTTTTACTAATGGGAACAAAGAGCATTTTGATTCAGAGTAGCCCAACGATGTTAATATTTTATGTATCGTAGCAGCTTTTATAAGCCTTGATAGCCTTTTGACATTAAAATCTTAAATTGTCTTGTCTGTCACTGGCCTGTGTGTATGGTAGTAGTGTTAGGTGTGCAGCAAGGAAAGCTTGACCCCCCAAAAATTTTTAGTAGTTTGCACTTTCCCATACGAATTTAAGTGCTTATGAGGTATTGCATTGCAAATATGTAGTGGAAATCTCACAGACCTTAAATACATTCTCATTGAATGTTTTTCTTTTTTAAGTAAAGCAGTCAACATATGAACAGTTACTTTATACCAAGAATTATTCTGGGGAGGTAAGAGCCAAAAATCACTCATTGACTTCTATGTTGTAGTACACACAATGTAGTACATGTGGCATGGGACAACTTTAAAGATTGCATTATACATGCATAAGTCCTGCAATTGAATCTTGCTTGCATATTTGTGGGACCTTTTGCTTGCTGTAGAGAGCTACTCAGGCATTAGTCAATATCAACACAAATGCCAATAATAGAGAAGTGATTGTTATTATCCACATGGTCAGTATATTTTTCTGGATGTGATTCTGCTGTGGTAGAGCTATTTTTCAACCAACCCTTATTCTGGTGTTTGCCTCTTCCATAAGAGCCACTCATCATGGCAAGATTGACCTGGACACACCGGTTTGTGTTTGACTCTTGAATTACCTTTAAAATTAGTTTTTGTACATTGTGTGCTGGTCTCTCTAGATATTGCATCCATGAGCCACCTACTTGCTTAAATTTCGGTTTAGCCATTCTTCTCCCCTCCTAGGAAATGCCTGAGGAGAGAAACAAGATAAGAAAAAATTGCCAAAGGACCATGAGGCATTTGCCCAATATACCTAAACCTTATAGTTTGTGGTATTTATTGAATGTTATAGGTATACCTGCTTTCATTCCTAGATCTATTTGCAAAGGGGCTAAGAAGTTACCTTATATGAGTCTTGAAATGGACCCAGAAGTAGCCAAGAACCTCCTCACTGAGGGGGCAACTCTTGTCTTTCTTGATGTCCCAAAAAACACAGAAGTTGGCATTGATATGAATTCATGGACCGTTGGGGAAAAGTTTAAAGGAATCAAAATGATTCCACCTGGAATTCACTTTATTTACTACAGGTGAGCTGCTGCTGCCTTGCTATACATTACTCATGTCTCTTATACAGGTCCCTACTAAATAGTAGAACACCCCCACCACCACATTCCCACATTCATAATGAAAATGGCTAGTAAAATGGTAATTAGAAAGGAAGAGAGTAAAACAGTGTTTCCTTGCAAGTTTGTACCTGTTGGCCCTTCATTTTATGGGGTTTGGACATATATGTGCACTGACTTTTTCACAGCAATTTCAGATCTTCTACAACTTTGTGGAGAATGTTTAAATTAATCTGGTAAGTTCTGTTGAAGCCTGTTGGGAATTTACATATCCATGGGAGAGTCTTACTTTCTCATGTTATGGAACTGGAAGGTTTAGCAAAATCAGGAAGCATAATAGCAGTCATTCCACACATCACCTCAAGGCTTATACCAGTTATGATATGATATGTAAATTTCAGATAGGTGAGAGGGGCTCTATGGATATATGTAATTTGATCCCTGGTTCTGAATACAGTCTCCTCTGACTAGCTGGAAGGAGAGATACTGGGAAGCTTGTACATTACCCTTCTTTGGGCATTGGTTTGAAGGGAGACTGGATCCCCATGGAGAAGCCTAAAATGTAAACAGTATGGAAGATCAGATGTGTGCCATTAGTACATCCCTTCTTACAGTACATTGACCCAATTGCATTGCAACTTATAATCATGATGAGTTTCTTGATGGCTTCCAAACTAAATCACATCTTGCCACTCTATATGCCAGTAGAAAGTCTAAATATGCCCTTGACTGCAACTGGTAATGTAGATCCTGCTATTTCTCAGTGCAGTGAGCAAAGAGGGACAGGTGGCACCAAGGACCGGTTTCTTCCATGTTTTTCGGAGAAAGGAATTGCTGGTGAAAAACTATGATCCTCATTTGGAAGATATTCCACCTGAACCTCCGCATCCTAACTTGGTCCAACGTCTAAAAGATAACCTAAAGGAATTGGACTGCTTCCTTGGACCCTTCCCATATGATTCATGGAAGAAGTGGATCTCCCTCACAGGGCACATTTCAGGTAAAGTCAGCATGGTTGTGACAAAATCCCCAGGAATTACTTTAATAGAATAACTGAGACAATCTACTGACCTTTATTTTTTGGAATCTGGTGACTTATTTTACTGAAGTTAGATAACATTTCATTTCCCCTTTGCCCCCCTCTATTTGATTTGGTTTTGGTATATGGGTTATCTGTGTCCCCCCAGCAATGCTACCATTGTGGCTTGATGAAAATATGTCTGTGGCCAGTGGTGGATTATGTGGGTGTTCACTGAACACATAATACTTACAAATGAAATAAGGAACTAAGAAACTATGTATTGACCTGTAACAATAAGATGCACCCAAAAATATGGATGGATGGATGTTTCTCGAAGAAAAAAAAGTGAAAGTGAAGTGTGGAGTGGACTGTCCCTTTTTCTTTTTACTTTTCTGGTATTTGCATATTTTCACCTTGTCATGTTATCTAGTGTTGAATGTGGATTCCATCTGCTTCATGCTCTACCTTATAATATATCGTTAATAATGCAGTCAGTAACTTGAAATCCATAAAGTTTGGAAACTCTTAATTTTATTTAGTGTTCATAGGTTGAAATGCAAATGGTAATGCTAGTCTCCCATTTAAACAGAGGATCTGATCAAGAATCAAGAGCCAATATGTGGGAAGATCTCATCGGCACCAAATCTCATTCCCTTCACAAATGAAGAGCGTAAACAGTTGCAGAGAGACTGGATCCCCCCTGACTTCTCTAATCGAGGTAAGGTGCTTTGCCAACTCTGAATGCGATGATGGAAGGTGAAAAAACTTTTGACATTGATGAAGCCTGATGTGCGGCATCAGCAAAAGACTTGACATTTGTCTGTTTTACAAGAGGAGTGGATAATTCTTTTGAAAAAGAATTAAAAAGTTGAGACTAAACTTTCACCATAATTAAAATTTATTTATAGTGATGAGACACCTGTGAGTACTTTTTTGTAATGGATTTGGTTAGACACCATAGCTTTCTGGTAACATCGATAGCAAAAATGCTTGAAATGCTCTTGGTATCTGATTGCTACCTTCCAAAAATACCCTATCTCAATTCTGATTCATCTCATTTCTGACTTGTATGCAACTCATAATGAATCTTTAAAATTTTTAATTTTGCCATTGCTTGTTGCAATATGTCTGTTTTGTCAACCATGGACTATTTTCTATTCATGCTTTGATTCAGAGATGCTACCATAATAGGTGAATTAATTCTGTTGCTAAGTTTCTCATGAGAAGGGAAAGGTGGCAACGATGTTGAAGGTGTGCCTTGTGAACTGGGAATTTTCATTTGTCCATAAAATGTTTTCATGGACTCACACCTGTAACAGGGATTACAATTCCAATAAATTTTGTTTGCAGTTCTTGATTGTTACTGGATATGGTATTGTTAGTATATTGCAATAACAGTTCAGAAAGGTGAAAAAAGAAAACATTTTCCATTGAAATCTCATCTGTTAGCCATGGAGGTCACATGCAAGTATGTAGGTCATATTAGAATATCAAGGAGTCTGAGATTCCTACCACAGGAGCCCAGTGGCATTTTGTAAAGGATTTACTTCCAGCGAGAATCAAGATTCTCCTTTTTTGTGTAGTATTGAAGGGAAAGGGGACAAAGCTTTGAAGCATCATGACATCGAAGCATGGAACTGTTGCGCCCAATAATTTTTTATTACCTTACTGAAATTTGGTTTGAAGCTTTGCAATGGAAAGCTATTGTTGAAAACTCTCACCCTCTGAATCTATAAAATTAGGTTTTCATAGAGCAGAAAGATATAATAAAAAAAAAGCATTCAAACCAAAATGATAATCCATTAAAGACACCCAGAAGACTTTTTCAAGATTGGTTGTATATTATGTTAATGAGAAAGAAGCTGAAAGGAGCTGATTGAGAACTCCATAATCTTCATTAGCCATTTTCACTCCTTTGCTGAGTGAAATTCTCCCAACGTATATGTCATTTTATCACTCCCTCTTTTGTTTGGACCTTCCCTTGGATATATAGCTTCTTTTCCTTGTTAATTTCTGGGTTGCGTATGACATGTAGGAATAGATTGTGCACTCACCTGGATTTGTGAGGATGTGGCATCTGCTATATAGGGGCATGGAGCTATAGTTGTGGACCTCTATTATACTTGGTGACAATGAGCAGTTGACTGTACATTTATTCAGTAAAAAGAATGACAAAAAAAGAAGAGTTCATTGCAACCCCATTCATTAACAAATACTCATATTCAAAGGTTATAAAAAAGTGTCAAACCAGAATTGTTTCATAGTTTCAAAGAATAGACTCCATAAGGTGTTGAATGGGGTCAGAAAGTTAAGAGAAGGACCAGCAAAATGGAGATGCAGGATCACCCTGACAAGGAGCTTATACAAGTAATACTCTGTAGATGATCAGCAAGTTCTGTGCCCTGGGACTGCATTTCTCCATTTACATGATGGCCATGCTTGCAGCCTTGCTAGAAAACAGTTGTGCTATGAATTGCTGAACTATAACAAGACCTAAATTCAGTTGAGCTGTTGTGTTTTCATGATGGTGGTGGTCTCTTCTTTTTCTGCTGGTGTTGCATGAACAATGCTGATAGAGGTCCAAGTGAAGAGTGACCACTTTAAAATAGGTACTGCTAGCAAAAGGCTATACATGCTTTTCTTTCCTTGTTCTCTTCAAAGGGTGATGAAACTGAAGAAATTGGAAGCTCTTCATCATACTTAGATCCATGGGTGGTAATATAATGCCCATTATGGGTAGGTGCTATTCAGAAATACCTTCTAAAATCTGTTTCTCCCCTCTGTAATTGGATGTTTCTACCTTACACTAAGTAATACAATATAGTGTATGAGAGCAAAGCATTACATTGGAGAAGAGTGATAAAGAAATGAATAGTGAAGTAAATGATCATTTGCAAATCATTTTGAGCCAACTCACATGTTTATTCATTTATTCTCATAAGTGATTCTCTGTGGCCTATATCATATGCATTGTTGCTCATGTCATCTTGTTGTGAATCTGCAGGACCAGGATGGGAAGAAAAACTGTTGCCACAGATGAAGAAAGTACCTGGAATGGAGATGCGATTCACACCATTGCCGGAAAAGCGGTATCCACAGGGTTCCACTCCTGCTGAAATTACCAAGCATTGCATGGATTCCTCCTTCTGTCTTGACAAGATGTTGGAAAACCATAGAATGTATGTTGATTTTCTCATAATCATCATCCCACTCCTATGTACAATTTTCAAACAATGGCTGGGAAAAGTGTCAAAACTTGGAAAGTGGGTTCCACATGTGTTGTCACCAGACAATATTAGAGATCAGGAAAGCATTTGCACTTCACAGCATTCTCGTGAACTTCAAGCGTCGTTTTTGAATCGACTCATTAGCAGGATAATCTTCAAGTGTGGCTATCTGCAGGTCATCATTGAACTCAACAGGTCGGCCTGAACGCGCTTCATCGGCTAAGCTGTAGTCACCACACCTGAACTTCTGGAACCACCGTTGGCATTTCCTCGCATTTAGGCGAAGGAGTGGTTTTTGTAGAACTTACAAAAAGCACCGATGTCAGTGCAATAAGGGAAACTTAATTTCATAAAGCATTATATGCCGAATGTGTTCCTCTGACACCTCCATCTTGTTTTTAACGTCTAAGAAAAATGGAGCGCTGTTAACTCGTTAAAACCTACACGTAGACTGAAGACTAACGTCTACAAAAGTTAGCATAGAAATATTCCATGAGATATGCAAAGATACATGTATAAACAAGACACAAGTTTGGCAATGCAAAAAAACCACATTACTTATGGGATGACCTGATACATCAAATTAAGGTGGGTGGGTGGTCTCCATTGTGGTTTGGTCTGAAGTTCTTTGTACTGAGTGTCTTCAGTTGATGACAGTATTTGATTAACAGGATCTTGTATCTCAAAGTCCAAACTAAGTTGAGGTAATGAATTACTGCATTTTGACTGGGACTTGTGTTAGACACTTTTTTGCTGAGCATGGTTGTATGTTTTTTAGATACAACTTTTTGCCAGAGTAGTTTAAGTAGTCAATGAGAATATTTGACTCGACAGGAAGGTTGTTCTTTGCAGGATCAGTATCTTATAACTCCAGGCTTTTCTTGACATTGGGTCCCTTTTCCCCTTTTGTCTCAATTTATTTTTTTAATATTATTTTCCCGACTGAAGAAAGGATGCCTTCTTTTTTTCTTCCAGCCCTGAGGATCTCTTGGGAGAGTTCCAGCTAGCCTTTGTTTGCTTCCTTGTTGGATATGTATATGAAGCATTTGAGCACTGGAAGCAGCTCATTCAGCTCTTTACTACCTGTGATGAAGCCCTAAAGACCAGGCCTGAATTCTTTTTGCAATTCATCTCCACCCTTCACTTTCAAATGAAGGAAGTTCCAAGTGATTTCTTTACAGATATTGTGGCAGGGAAAAACTTCCTGCGGGACTGTCTCCACACTTTCTTTGCCAATATTAATGCCACTGGTGATGTTCTAGATGCAAAATTGAGAACCCGGGCTCAAAAATTCAGGGAGCATGTTGAAGCAACTTTTGAATGGGAGTTTAGTGAGGAAGGAGAGGAAGATTTGCCTGTCATTGTGGAAGATGTCACATGATCCTCTTTTTTTCCCTTTCCTCTGCCGGATGCCTCCATGGAGTTCCCAATTTGATCTGCTTGTTCCATTGTGAGCCCTTAAAATGGCAGACATCCATTACTGAAAGGAATACCCTACCTTGATAGGAAATGGAACTTTAAAGGAACACCTGATATTTTTGCAGGAATTCTCATGAGCATTTTCTAAATGAAGCTCTGTGGAATGATAACATCGCAGATAATTGTCATCCTTGTGCAAAGGAGGGAAACATGAAGCTAGATATGCTGACACTTCCTCAGTGAGGAGGATGATGGAACTTCACTAGTCCTCTCGGATTTATCTTCCAAGGCAAAGTGTGATTGCTGTGCCTGAATAGTTTGCATTCTGTATCAGCCATGTTCAGCTTACTGGGTTGATGACAAAGATTGAAATTCTAAGTATTTGTGGCATGTTGCATATTAATGCAAAGCAACCATGTTCATGATGACAATTGTCAGAATTCTTTTGCTAATTTTTTCATTCAGTAATTGGTTGTGCAAAGTCTCTTTCAGCTTTGAAGAATTGAAAATTTTCTTATTCAACGGTACTGTATGATGCAGAGTTGAATGATGCCAGGGAAATTGATGTGAGTAAAAGAAATGACTGATTTAATGGGCATATTGTATTAAGTGTATTCTCTTTTTTTGGGATGTCAAAAGAAAAGATTTATGGCATTGATGTGCATGTGGCCTGTGGACCCCCTTCTAGCAGCCTGATAAAGGTAAAGGTAAAGCAACAACAGATAAAATGTGGCCCAAGGCCCATAACAACTTTGATCATTCCTTAGTAACTAGAAACAAGCTGTGTCTTTTCGCTTTCCTCCCTCAAATTATTACTCACGCTGGCACTGTTGCAAGTGTCTCAAGGAAGGAGGTTCTCAATGACAGGGCTATTTTTGGCCATTGGAATTTCCTGGGGATGGGGAAGGGTGAGGGTCATCAGTCAACCAGCACGACCTTATGCCTTTGTTTGTCCTGAGGGCACAAGTCTTTTGCATTTGATGGCCCATGTGAAGAGTCAGACATTTCCATGCAGCTCTCTGCCAATAAAGGTTGCATACCCCTGATTTATGGCATCTTTTGAAGTCTCATGGAAGCAGAATCCCTGCTGTCTGGCAAAGGAAATACCACACCTTTGTGCTCTTGAGTTCAGTGCCTAATGGCCATGTGTTGATATTTTCATCCACTCTTCTTATATCCTTGTTTTATCATACTCTTTTTTTTTCTCTTCTTCCCATGCTCTGTTTATTGAAAGCAGGAAGTATGGTTTCATAATTTTGGATGTATGTTTCAAAAATTCTTGAAAGCTATATGAATAATTATACAGGATGTTCCATAAGTCCCGTGACCCCCCCCCTTTTTTTTCTTGTTTCTGGTGAATTATGGTTTGGATTTGTGTAGATATGAGTGACCGAGGCCCTTTTATGTTAGAAGAGCATTTAGTAATGAGTTTTTGAGAGCATTAACGCCAACAAAGTGGAAGAAACATGGCACATTTGTTTGTGGACTTTCAAGCCTGATCTGGCAAAAATCCTCTATGAAATGTCTCATTGCACATGGTGCTTCATCATTCTGGGTTCAAAAAACGATGGCACTCATACTGATCCGCTTGATCTCCAAATGATCCCCAGTTTCTCAAATGAGGGTTATTAAATGTCAATATGAATGTTGTTTCAAATGGCATGTTTTATTTTGCTGGCACTATTATTCACAAGAAAAAAAAATGGGGGGTGTCGAGGGACTTATGGAACACCCTGTATGATGACATGTGGCTTTATTGGGAATCTAGTACCATAATCAGACCAAGTGTTTTGTTTTAACATGTTCTTTGATTTACCAAAAGTCAATGGTAATATCAGTTTTTTTTAATACTTAGCTGTTATTTAAATTCTCTCCAATCAGTCAAAATTAAGAGCTGAAATTGGGGAGGTTCATTGGTAAAATGACATTTTGTGTGAGAATGAAAAGCTGTGCTCAGAGGAGGCATGGATGGCATGCAGTATTTTGTTGGAAATAGAGATGATTAACTGGAACTTTGATACAGCAAAGTTAATTATGATGCTCCTCAAAAGTAACTGGAAATAGATAAGCTGGGGTGCTTTCCAATAGATATCTCCATTTTTTACTCACCATGAATTACTCTTGGGTTAGGTATGTAAAAAATAGCAAATTTTCAGATTTAGTCATCTTTAAGTGTGGATACACAATTAAAGTTGGGTTGCAGAAATCATACTTGGTAATACCTTTAGTAATCACTCCATGCTCCTGCATCTCAGTACTGTTTTCTTGCCAAGCAATTCCTTGCAATTAAATGATTGTCATTTTAAATTCTTTCCCTATCTCAAGATAGAATGCTCAACTGCAGGAAATAAGGTAGAAAGGAACAATTGATGAAAGCATAGTGATGGCAGGTCCACAGACAATCAACATCATGCAGCTGAATGTCATGCAGCTAACACAGCTGAAACAGCAGATTGATGAAGTGAGTTGGATTTGATGTGGAAGGGAATTGGGCTGGAATGATGTGGCTGAAATCCTTTTTCCTCTTTAGGAGGTGGAGTTTTTTTCATCTTCACTGCAGCAGCTGAAGCTGGCTCAGGGGAAGTTCCAGGGCTCCCAGGAGAATCTGAAGCAGTTCACCTCTGACCCTTCTTGCAATGCTACTCAGCACGAACTTCTCATTCCATTATCCACTTCTGTATCCTTTCTTTCCAGCATATGTCACACTTTGCATGCCTTAGACTAAGATTTCCTTTCACTGTCAACATCACCTTATGAATCTGGCACCAAACAAACAATCTGTTCAATGAGCCTTGACCAATGGAGTTCAGATGTATGTCCCAGGTCGCATATCGGATGCCGAACGGGTACTTGTGGATATCGGCACACAGTACTATGTGGAAATGGTCTGCATTTTTCATTCTCTACTCTTTTTCACTTCTTAAAGTGGGATGAATTGGATAATATATAATACTTCTAGTTTTTCCTTATTTTTAATTTTTTGGAAAGGATTTGGACTCTCATTTCCATTTTCTTTCTCATAGGGCTTCTCTCTAATTCAGAGTGCTAAGATATTGCACAATTTTGTTTTCTGGAGACTTGAAGTGATAGGTGGAAGACTCAGTCATTACCCAGGGACCTTGGATATGTTAGATCCAAAACCTTCGGAGATAACTTGTAATTTACTTGTAAGTAAAATTATCAGTTCTTAGAGTGCTTTAACCACATTGCCCCCAGGCAGCCCTCTTGAAGACCATGACCTATTCATTTCCCCTTAGGATCTCCAAACATACTAAATATGTCTAATTGTAGATCTTGCCAGATTTTTTTAAGTGGTTTCTAGACCTCACAGATGGAATGCATTATGAGACAGCAAATGATATATTTGTTATGTGGTTATTTTGCACAATAATTACAATGAAAGAGCTTACTCTTGACAGGTCTCTGCCTCAAGCTATATTAACCCTTTGCAGTCCTTTTTAAGTCTATTTAAGTTTCGTGGGCCAAAAAGTCCAATTTTTTGCACTGTTTTTTTATTGAAATAGGTTCGAATGAGGTTTTTTTTATTTCTATTTCAGTTGAGTAATTTCTAGCCATCGGATAAAGTAAAAATAACACCTATAAACACACAAAAGAATAGCACTGTTCCATTGAGCAAAATTATTATCATAACACAGCAACTTTGACTCAATGCTCTCCAGGTGCTGCCATGGATAAACTGGCCTTATGTAAACAATAACTGCTTGGTTGTGAGTAATGATGTTAAATAAACATAGCAGCACATCCTATGATGATATAGGACCTGAGAGATTGCATGTAAGTTTTTTCATTCTGAGGATGAGGTAGGACCAAATTGCAGTTTTATAAATTTCATCCCAGGGATGAGGTTGGACTGCAAAGGGTTAACTCTGATGTAAAAACTAGAATCCCACAGGGAAAAGGCTTCCAGGGATACAGATAGTCTCCCAAGCTTCACTTCTTAACTTCCTCATGTAAATAATCACGCTGACTCAAGAAAGTGAGTAGTTGTCATAATTTCTACCCTGTCTAGAAACTCTGCATCTTTTCTTAGATTTTTGGCTTTGCTTGAAAGGTAGGTTAATGCTTTGAACCTGAAATTATCTGTGTTACTCTAGTAATATCCTATGGAACATTTCAATCGAAGGCAAATTACAAAGGGTATTGAGAGCTTTCCATGCTCATTCTTCTGAGTGGAGAAGAAGATTTTATCTCTTGGAGATGAAAGGAGATCGGGAGGCTTTCTTGAGTGAAGCAGGCATCTGGCCAGCACTCACACATGGATGATGCTGTGGGCCTGAACCTTGATTACTGTTCAGTTCAACTGAATCTAAGAAACCCTTGTTTCCAACATTCTTGTCTAATTTCTCCGTGTGCATTGTCAACACAGCCTAATCTTATGTATGCAGTTGGGTATGTGCATGTGAAATCTTGCTACACCTTAATGCAGTGATGGATAATGTACAGGGTGTGGAAGCTGCAAGGGAGTACTTTCAGAGGAAGGTCCAATATTTGACCAAACAAATTGAGAAGGTGCAAGAATTGGCTCAGGAGAAAGTAAAGATCAGAGAAGGTAAGTCAATCTTCCTGAGACTTTTCCTTGAGCAGAACATTTGACATTGATTATCCTCTTCAATCCAAAGGTGCTCATTAAGGACACACCTTCTTAAGGACATCATAAAAATATGATCTAACATGAAAGTGCTCAACATGATGAAGGCTCTTGAACATGCACTATTGCTTTAATAGCATCAAAATAATCAGGGTTTAAATTCCCAATGTTTTGCCTCCTGTCCTATTATGGCATGCCAAAAACAGTTTCGAGCATTCTCTATCAAGAGATAGCCATTTGGAAAATTCATGAGTTATTTTGAGATTTCTCATCTTTGGTTGCAGTGGTGATGGAGGCATTGGAGAGCAAGGTGAGTGCTCACCTGGCATCTCAGCAAAAACAGACCCCTGCTCCAGTCTCCTCATAGCATGCAAACATGGCAACACTAAACAATGCTTGTGTGAGAAGGTTGATGTGTTGTTTTTCTTCCTCATAAAATTAATAAAGACTCCTTTTTTTTCTTTTTGAAGGACCATTGCAACAATTTTAGTGAATTATGTAAAAGCTATATCTTTTACATAATGCAGACAACCAGTTGTTTTATTCTTGAAGTAATTATTTTTTTTTTACATTTCATAGCACCCAATTAATGGTGCAGAACAAAAATGGGAGCAAATCACAGTCCTGTTTTAATTTGCTAAGCTGAGCCATTTTCGCCTAGTGTCTGTAATACAGATGTCAGCGATATCTTGTATATTAAATATCACCTGGTTAGCATGAAAACATAGGGTATGTGGTAGAGACATCATGCAAAAAGATGGTATAATTAGTATTTCTCTATACCAAGGTTGATACAAAAATATGTATTTGATTTTGCCTTTGAATGCCCCTCATATGAAAGGCCCTCCTGGAACCACCTCTTATCTTCAAGGGAAATTGGGTATTAGTTTATACTTCATGGGGAGGTTGGTTGAGAGGAGATGTATAGAATTGAGATTAAAAGTGTAAAGAAATAAAGATACTGCATGAATCAGAAACCTGAGGTCGAAGACTTGGTAAACAGCACGTCCCGTAGTGCCCCTGGCGACTTCGGGCGTCTATTTCTTCCTAGCGGCTAGGCTAGCTCTGCTGAGGCCCCAAGCATCAATGACGTTATTTTAAGGCTTAATCCCTCTACGTTCTCATAGATAGCTATGTTCCGCTCGCCGCAACATGCCTAGAGTGGCGTCTTTCAATGACGTGGTGGAGCCTGGCCAAAACGTCTTTTTCGCCAGCAGCTGCTAGCGGCTGGCGAAAAAACACCTTGATCATCATCCATCGGTAGCACCATCTGATGAGGCTCGAAATAACTACGAAGTTGCCAGCGCCATCTGGCCAGGCTCGAAATAACTACGAAGTTGCCAGCGCCATCTGGCGAGGCTCGGAATAACTACGAAGTCGCCAGCACCATCTACCGAGACCCTGAATAACTGATATCGTCAGCGCCATCTGACGAGACCTTAAAGAACTACGATCTCGTTAGCGCCATCTGGCGAGGCCCGGAATAACTACGAGGTCGCCAGCGTCATCTGGCGAGACTTCAAAGAACTAAAGTTTGTCGCTTTTCTCCAAAGATGCCGGAGAACTGCGCTTCATTCTCTACCGTGAAATTCTCTACACGGTTTGATTTTTTATTTTTCTACCCAATATTTCTTATGCCTCCTGACAATCAAGGATGCAGGGTTAGGAAAGCCCAATGAATAATGCTGCACTGGGATCAAACTCCGGTGACATCGTAACCTGTAGTGGATCCCTAACGCCGTTTTGCCATTTCTCCTCGCAATCTTCGTCGCAGATAAGTTGTCCTTTGGATTCAATGACGTGGCAAGGAGGGGGACTTGGGTGTGAAACTCCCCAAACTCAGGTCCTAATGCAGACAGAAGCTGTTTTACGGCTGGAATCTCGGGTGCATATCCGAAGGATGAGAAAAAAATAAGTTCCCTTTAAGTTATCGCTAGGAAGCGGATTTTTATGTAACCGCATATTATTTCTGCAGCCTCGTAGGAGCGTGCAACTCAGGAGCATGCCTTATTGATGGAAGAAACTATTTCTGCCATTTAAAAAACGCATAAAAATGCATATTTTTTATTTTCCTAGAATATGCGTTCTTACGTATATACGTCCATTAAAAAACGTACACTTTTGAAGTTCAATATCTCCAGAACGGAAAGGCATAGGACAGTGAAATTTTAGGGGGATACTCAGGGGGTCATGGGATTTCATTTGAGACTGTTATGATAAAACTTCTTAAAATTTATTTATTTATTTGCACTATTGGCAGTATTGAACCACTACTGAAGGTATGTAATGATTTTCGATCATGTGTATATTTATGCATACTTCCCCCTTTTTTAAGGAAAAAAAAAGGTTTTACAGGAAAATGAGTTTTCTTTATGAACGACCTATGACAATTTTTTAGCAGTAATGTGCTGCGACCAGCAACGTAGCGAGGGAGGGGAAATGGAAGGTGAACCCCCCCGGCGAGGACGTTAAGGAAATTCCAGCTCCCTATCCGTTTTCCCTAGCTCCCATTTGCGAATTCTTGGCCCTGCCTCTGGCTGTGGCAAGAACAGTCCAACTATGCCAGTAGGCATATCATTTAATCTCCAAGCTTCTCTGTGGGTGAAGGGAGAAGCTTGCCGATATCAAATCTACATTGTAGTTACTTCTTCCAAAGTAACTACAACTACTTCTTCCTTCTCCATTTTAAAAAGCATGTTCTTGCATATTTTTTCCTCTTCCGTGCGTATTTCATGCATATTTTGGCCTTTTTAAGTGCATTATTAGGACTTGGCGCATAAAAACCTGCTCCCCGGATATCACACATTTCTGCACGAAAAGATTTTCCGGAAAAGAGTTCTAAAATAGAACTGCGCAGACTGCATCCACAGTTCGGATGAAACTTTCTGTCAGACGGAAAAAAGGATCGACTCCAAGTAACCTTGATAGACTTGCTTCCTTTCACCTCGTCTGGACACGACTTCCTGGAAAGGGAATGTTTACCCGAGCTAACCTTCAGTTCACCTTCTGTGGACCCAGGCGGGGGAGGGCAGGAGGGGGCGGGGGCGGGGGTTTGTCCTTTTCGGTCCTAGGAATCCGATTCCTATCGGCACGGTCCACGACCCAAGGTTCTATGGAAGTTCTACGGAACTAAAAGAGGACCCAAAAGAGAGGCACAGTCGAACACAGTGCTTCTCTTTTAGTCCCTCGGGGAAAAGAGCACGAGTTTGGTCGTGGATAGAGATCGGAGCGTGGTTCCTTCCATTCCACCCCGAGGCACCTTCTTAGTCCCGCCCACCGAAAACGCCCACCCCAGTGGGGGAGGCGAAGGAGTTCCAGTCGGACGAGGAGATCCCGACGTTCCCTTCGGTCGAGTCCGTGCACTCGCCTCGATCTTTGCCTCGATCCTAGCCCGCCGAGCGACTGCGAGACTCCCACGCTCGTCTCGAAGCGATGGATGCTGCCGAGAATCTCCATCCGCCCCGTTTTCCCCGTCGACGGGTCGAGGAAGAACGGAGTTTCGTATCGTTGCTTTCCCGGCCAGATCGTCTCGCGTCATCCGGACGAACACGCTTTCCCCGTCGGCAACCAACGGTATTTCTTTACTTCTCTCTTTTTGTTCTCTGTGCCCTCTTAGCTAGTCCGCGGCGAGGAGATGAGTTCTTTTTCGAAATACGAGGTACGTCATTTTTGCGTCGTAAAAGGCGCAGATCCGCAGAATCGAATTTCGATCGGCATGCGCCTTCGTTGCATCTTCGAATTCCCGAGCGGTTCAATCGGATCGACAGCCTCTACGACCGGCTCCCAGGGTTTAACTTAGGCTAGCCTAAACTAAGGTTTCGTGGGTTTCCGTTTCTTTGACGGGCTCGTTAAGGTCGTGTCCGTCTGCGCCTGCTTGCTCGCCTAGCCTAGGTTATGGGACGAGTTCTATCGCGTGCGAAGAGGCCAGATAGCCAGACGGGTATTATACGTTATGCGCACACCCCCCCTACCCCCTATGCACACCACTGTGCACACTGAGTTTTGCTTAGGCTCCACCACACGCACACCTGTGCCTATGCTGCATGGCATCCTAGGCCTTCATCTGGTGTGCTCCAGGCACACCGGCATGATCCTGGCGTACGTAGAGCCGTACTCCTCATCTCGTACGCGTTGATGGCAGCGCCATCTACCTCCATCAGTCGGAACTAATGTTCTACAATACTTCCTGTAGATGNTTTTAGGGGGATACTCAGGGGGTCATGGGATTTCATTTGAGACTGTTATGATAAAACTTCTTAAAATTTATTTATTTATTTGCACTATTGGCAGTATTGAACCACTACTGAAGGTATGTAATGATTTTCGATCATGTGTATATTTATGCATACTTCCCCCTTTTTTAAGGAAAAAAAAAGGTTTTACAGGAAAATGAGTTTTCTTTATGAACGACCTATGACAATTTTTTAGCAGTAATGTGCTGCGACCAGCAACGTAGCGAGGGAGGGGAAATGGAAGGTGAACCCCCCCGGCGAGGACGTTAAGGAAATTCCAGCTCCCTATCCGTTTTCCCTAGCTCCCATTTGCGAATTCTTGGCCCTGCCTCTGGCTGTGGCAAGAACAGTCCAACTATGCCAGTAGGCATATCATTTAATCTCCAAGCTTCTCTGTGGGTGAAGGGAGAAGCTTGCCGATATCAAATCTACATTGTAGTTACTTCTTCCAAAGTAACTACAACTACTTCTTCCTTCTCCATTTTAAAAAGCATGTTCTTGCATATTTTTTCCTCTTCCGTGCGTATTTCATGCATATTTTGGCCTTTTTAAGTGCATTATTAGGACTTGGCGCATAAAAACCTGCTCCCCGGATATCACACATTTCTGCACGAAAAGATTTTCCGGAAAAGAGTTCTAAAATAGAACTGCGCAGACTGCATCCACAGTTCGGATGAAACTTTCTGTCAGACGGAAAAAAGGATCGACTCCAAGTAACCTTGATAGACTTGCTTCCTTTCACCTCGTCTGGACACGACTTCCTGGAAAGGGAATGTTTACCCGAGCTAACCTTCAGTTCACCTTCTGTGGACCCAGGCGGGGGAGGGCAGGAGGGGGCGGGGGCGGGGGTTTGTCCTTTTCGGTCCTAGGAATCCGATTCCTATCGGCACGGTCCACGACCCAAGGTTCTATGGAAGTTCTACGGAACTAAAAGAGGACCCAAAAGAGAGGCACAGTCGAACACAGTGCTTCTCTTTTAGTCCCTCGGGGAAAAGAGCACGAGTTTGGTCGTGGATAGAGATCGGAGCGTGGTTCCTTCCATTCCACCCCGAGGCACCTTCTTAGTCCCGCCCACCGAAAACGCCCACCCCAGTGGGGGAGGCGAAGGAGTTCCAGTCGGACGAGGAGATCCCGACGTTCCCTTCGGTCGAGTCCGTGCACTCGCCTCGATCTTTGCCTCGATCCTAGCCCGCCGAGCGACTGCGAGACTCCCACGCTCGTCTCGAAGCGATGGATG